TTCGTGCTCTCCGATTGGACACCCGTCGTCGAGACACGTGGCTTCTGGTGACGGATCAATGTAACACTATTTCCTATTGGCCATTTTTTTATTAACAGCGTTAACATGTATCACCAAGTGTGCGAATGGAGAATGCGCCAAGTTACGTGTGTCCTCTATATGAATGATCGCTTAGAACAAACACAGTCGGTAGTTTAAAATTGCATATAGTTTGCACGCCGGAATGTCCAATCAATTGTCACCAGCGCTAATCAACCAGTTCGTAATCACTTCGCTAATCGAAGGGCCTTGACACATGCCACCCTCACCGAAAACGAAGGCACCACCAACCTGAGCGGCAAGTTGCGATGCGGCGTGTCCGCATTCACACCAGAAGACAAAAATTCCAGCTACGACCAAGGCTAGATATTTCACGTCGTTATCGACAGAGGCAGGATCCTGAATTTCGAAAATGGCTCGTCCAAGTAATGCAGTCCACGTCGGACCATTGTATTCGAAATCCGGGAGACACCGCATCAAACGCATGGCAATCCCTGCAGACAATGCAGCACGATTGGCTAGGACGGTGTCATTGATAACGCTGCAAACTGCTGATCTGGCGCGACGAGCGTACGATCGAGGAGAAACTCCCACTGACGCTGCGGTTAACATGCAGAGAGCAGCTGTAACTCCTGCTGCGAACAACTCTCTCGATATAAAGCGAGGACTCGGCACGCCGCGACGCTCGGCGTCCAGCACAGTGCGGCCGGCTCCGACGCAGATTGCTGTTATAAATCGGTCTCCCGCGAACTGGCGCCATGTGGCTGTGTTCACCACGGTCCTGAAGCTGTCAGGATGGGGAACAACGGCAAACATCAAATTGTAAGCGACGGGTGTTAAGGGCAGTCGTCTAAATTGCCAATGTGATGCGATTTGATATATACAACAAGAGGTGTGGTTCGAGATACCCCTCACTTTTCAATTCTGTCGAGATGCAGCCTGTTCAACACACTCCACATCCCCGTTGGAATTCGCTCTGCGTACATCATGGCGATTGGCCATAAACTGTCATGCTCGGGATCCATCCGGTACGCGAGCAAGTCCGTATCAGGAAAGTACGCTTTCCAGCATACGGCGACAGTAAAGTTGCGACTATGTTCGCTGTTGTGGTTTCCCATGTTGCGCCTTCTACCACCAACGGTTTGCACCGAAAAGAAAATTACATCTCCGGAGGCTGTTCGACGAGAGAAACAACCACGTGACCTGAATGGCCTGTGTACCGCATGCTGCTTCCCCAAAGCGTTAACCAACGCCGCCATCTGTGAGATACGGAAACTTTAGATGCTCCCTATTGTAATTGAACTACTTCAAGGCAGGTTCTAAATTAAAGCTTCTTGTCACGGAACGGATGAATAAATATGCTGGTCACATCGTTCCGAGGTGGGGCTGCTAGGTGGGCATCCCGTCGTGATCTCTGATGGAAACCACGCAGTGCCATCGCGATCTTCGATTGGTCACCGAAATGCATCGCGATAAAGTTCGGCAGTGGTAACATATTGTGTAACGGTCGTGACAGTGCCAGGTGTGCGTGGTGTAGACTGCGTGGTGACGGCGGATTATAGTGCGTGGTTCGGAGCTTCGGCTATGCCGCAATGACGATTTTAGATGGTAACGGGATCGTCGATGGTGACGGAACTATCTATTAACGGTCGACGATTTTGGGGTTCTCTCTACGGAACAGCCAAACAGCAAGCTTGGTATTCATGTTCGCACCAAAAACTCGTTAAAACCCATGAATATGGCTCACAACGTTCCCGCTATGTATGCCGGGCACTGTGAACTTGTTACACACTCCCTCTACACAATGCATTCTACTACTGTGCACATGTAATCCCCAAAACCACACAAGCGAACCCCTCCACATCAACAATTGCCATGCACTAGTCGGAATTTTCAGAAATGTCATCCGGGGTGACTACCTCGCTACGCTCGGCCTCATCCTCTAATGCCGTCGCGGAACATGTCTGGTAAACGCCACCCGAAAACAGTCCCTGGACGAAACGTGCGATAGATTCACGCATGTCGTGGAAGTCACGCGCAGACGAGGGTGGATACAATTGTCCAACCGCTCGGCGGACGGCGAAGCCTTCCATGTCCGCAAGCAAGTCCATCAGGAAACGCACGCACCACACCCCTGACACAGGCTCATCCAAATCCAGCTCGTCTACGAGAAGGTCGTCGTTGAACCAGTTGTTGGCAAACCTCCTCCAACGGTCGTTTGCGCTCCCCTTAGAAATGTGATGCGTACTGTTGCGCAATTCACGCAGCACCTGATTTTTGAACCATCTGCAACACAGTAAAGGGATGCTGTTAAATTTTGTATCCCAGCATCGGAAAAAGACCAACCACGACTACCAACCCACTCACCTCTGCATCCAGCCCGACATACAGCCAAAACCAGGTTGGCTTGCATTGTTGCTTTTACGCTTCGGGTCTAAGAAGAAGCTGCAAAATCGCGTTTCCGTGCCCTCAGCGTTAGCAAAGTCGTTGGGATGAGTAACGACGCATAACGCTGGCGCCCCTACTCCGTCACGCCAACTGCAAAGTATAACGAACGGTGGGGTCTGCTTTGAGTCATCAAGGGCCATCTTTTATGTGCTAGGCCAGTAGACAAAAACCACTTACTCGTTCCAAACTGGAACCACAATTGCGTCGAAATCCAAAACCTTGATCGTAGATGAGGCGATCTGGGCCAGCTCCTTGCAAGTCATAATACGCACGTTCAACTCGGGCTTACTCTCGCACGCCCATCTGCGAAAAACACGCAAAACATCAGCCAGTGCAGTGAATATGAATCCCCCTAAAAGTCGACGACGTACAGCAGACCCAGGTCGAGTGTCAGATTGGTGAGCTCCTTCGTGTCATCAAGCAGCTGCCCAATATCATTCTCACAAAGGACGCGGTGACCCCCTGTGCGAAACTGAACTTTCACACTACGTGAAGCCATGCTTTGCGCTATTCTGCTGACGGGATGGTAATCACTAATGCGCAGTTTCTTTATAGCAAGCTCGTGTGTGTGTGTATATATGTCAGACTGTGAGGACTAGTCAAGCCGCATTTAGGACTTTGCGAAAAGGATGTAACAAGGTGACTTGTAACCGTGCACATGTCATGTAACACGATTCATCATGTGAATCGTGAAAATCTAATGTCTGCTGTCGAAGACGAAGAAACTAGCACGGAGTGCAGTCAAGACACTGCGTTACCCCTGTCCAGGGTTGCGGCAAGAGTGCTCGTGTATTGGTGCCAGTGCATGGCTCCATCGGCCCGTATTGAGCATTCTCTAAACACACCTAGCATGCCACATCATTGCAGCCATTCACACTAATCGGAAACGTCAGAAGAGTCATCTGGGGTGAAGACCTCGCTAGGCCCGGCGGCATCACCAAGAGGCGTTGCATAACAAACTTGGAACACGGCACCCGAAAGTAGTCCGTTGATGAATCGCGATATGGTCTCACGCATGACGTGGAAATCACGCGGCAGAGTTGTAGGGTACAATTCTTTCATAGCGCGTCGAGCAGAAAACCCTTCCATGTCAGCCAGCAGGTCTTGCAGAAACCGCACACACCAAACCCCTGAAAGGGGCTCTGTCAAGTCCTCTACGAGAAGATCGTCGTTGAAGTCTGTGTTGCGCGGATTCCTCAAGCGGGCTTCCACGATTTCACCAGAAATCGGATTCTCATTGGCCCGTAGTTCACGACGCACCTGATTTTCGAACCATCTGCAGCAGCCGGTTTCGAATGTACGTAAATCAGCGTAGTTCAACACGCAAAGAGCCTTGGTACGCGTGGCAAACCTCACCTGCTCATCCAACCCGACATGCAGCCAAATCCAGACCAGCCTGCATTGTTGCCTCGGCGTTTGGGGTCGAGGAAGAAGCTGCGAGATCGCGCTACTGAGCCCTCTGCAAGTGCGAGATCGCCCGGATGAGTAACGACGAACAACGCACACCCCGGCGACTCGAATCCGAAACACCAACTGCAGATTGCATCAAAAGGCACGTCAGCAATGGGAGACAATCTGCGTGTTAAAAAGATAAACACAAACACTTACTCGTTCCAGATTGGAACCACCACAACATCAAAATCCTGGATTATGACTGCAGGGTCGTTCCCGTGACCCCTTGACGACCATATCTGTGCCATCTCTTTGTCGGTGAGAATACGAACTCTCACGTCAGGCTTACACTCGCTCGCCGATCTGCAGAAACCAACACAGGGGTTCAGCCACCGCAACTTATTTGGATCTGTCGAACATTGATCTACTTACAGAAGACCCATCTGTAGAGTAATATTGTTGAGCTCCTGCGTATCATCCAGCAGACGATTCAAATCTCTCTCGTCGAGAACGTGGTGGCCACCGGTGTGAGCCACTACTTTCACCTTACGTGAAGCCATGCTTGGAATGGTTTAGGTCTAAATAAAGAGCACATTTATACCAAAGTAACATGTACCGTGTTGCTGCCAGCCTAACATGTTAGGCGGCACGATCGAGAGAAGGTGTCGCCGTGTTCGCATTGGACGGGACGTTCCGAGATCATGGGACTTGTAATCTCGGTTGTGGTGGAGGGTTTTGTTATCTCGGTTGGGATAGAGGTGGCTAGAAAAGGAATGAGTTATATTTCGTAGCCAGCCCATAGATTTTTTCTGAACAGCCCACGTATCAAGCCGCAACATCCATGGACTAGCAGCGCATCGAAGTTACGTCCAGTGTCACACTACACTCTACTCCAAAACCGACGAACATCACCGGGGGATCTCCATTGTGGTTCGAGATTATTGCTCTACAACCAAAAATAACATAATCCGCTGAATGTATTTTCTACCTAAACATCTTAACAGCTACGAGTCTGGAGTGTCAAATACATAGAGCCACGCAAATGTTGGAGTTATGGTAGAATCACCTGGACTACATGAAAGTCTACAGATCCCTCTACAAACACTACCCGCGTCGAAACCTCAAGAGCGATCCCCAACATAAGGCTCCGGAGGGGGAACGTTATTCTTCCTTCGTTTCTTCGCGATCTGCCCAGCCTCACGATCCTTGATTTTGGGCCACTCCTCCGCTCCCACGACCGACTCAGCCCATGCCTCATCGCGTGCCCTTGCGTCCACGAGAAGGTAGACAATCCTGTTGCGTGAACTCTCGTTCGCAGTGATTCCGTCATCTCCCGCTACCTCGCGCTTTCTCTTTTGCAAGGCAGTGACGACATTCCCGTCCCCAATAGCGCTCTCCGATGACTCCCCTAGCAACCAGTCACCAAGAGCCAACGCATAAGCGGTCGCGGCTTCAGAGTCATCGGGTCGCAGACTGTCGATGGTGAGCATCTGATTCCTCTTCCGCCCCAACCGCTTGGAACGCGTGTTTTTTAAGACTTTCTGGTCCCCATACTCGGAGTAGGTTGCGAGAAAGTCTCCAGCCTTCGCCAGATCGCGGATGGACCTGCCGCCCATCATACCAGTGCCCCGGTCCCAAAGCTTCCACGCGTCCGAGAGCTTGCTGCATTTGAGCCATGGGGTGAGGACAGCCGCGAAAAAAATCCTCTGATCCTCTTGTTCTTGAGTTTCCACCTCGGGCTTCTCGTCGCAAACCTCCGTCTTTGGATCGGCGGCCCCTCCGTTCGACGCAACACAGGGCGGAGCGTCGTCGCCCCGTTGCAACGCCGCCATCGCCGCTTTCAGCAGCGCAAGCTCTTCGTGAAGACTCTTGTTCTCCATCCTCAACTGACCGTTCTCCGCCGTCACCCTCCCCGCATTCTCCATGAGCTCCTGGTTTAGGAGTCGCAGCTTGGTCATCTGCTGGGTTCCTTGGAGTCGATAGATGGCATCCTGCACCCGTGCAACACCAACTGTCAAAACGCGAGACTCAGGAAATCACAAACCCAAGCCACACTGAAACTAATATCTTACCGCTGCTGCAGATTGGCCCACATCTTTCCGAAGACGACGACCTTCTTCGTCCATGTTCGCGACAATGTTGGCCCATTTTTGAAACAAGGGCTCCTTGCAGAGAGGCGAGATCTCAGCGTATGGATGACGGGTACAATTGCACGCACGCCCTTCACCAGTGAACTTGCTCTCGCACTTGGGGTTCTCGCAAAATATCCAAAACATCGCAAGGTCCTGAGCAACAGTAGAGCGCCCATGGTCACGGAGGGCCTTCAAAAACTGCTCTGCCGATAGCTTTTTCTCGTGCGACTTCTTGTCTTTGTTGAACTTTTCGACCTGCGAAACGCCCAAAAAAAAGATGAAGAAACCAAACCCAGGAAACGGAAAACTCAGCTCTGATGACGCACCTTGGCCATCTCCTCTTCGAGCCACGGGTAGATGTGCTTTCGGAATAATTCTAGGAGTTCTTCCCACTCGGTGTTATCCTCTAGTTTCGCATGTGCTCTGCCGATGTAGTAGTCCCCGGGATCACCCGAATAGCCCGCCATCAAAAGCACCGGCTCGAAAGGCACGCCCAACAGGTACGACCTCCGCATCTCTCCCTGCTCCCATCCTCCCAGCTTCGCAATGAGGGTGTCTGGGCACCGGTCGTCGCTGAGACCCTGCGCCCCGGACCTGCGGAAGATGTGGGTCACTTTGCTCGACGACCATCCCGTCTTTCTCATCACCCAGCCGATCCAATTGTTGTGCGTCTTGTATTCCATCGGGTCTTGCTCTTGGGGTGATCTGTCGGTGTGCTTGTTGATCGGGAAGAAGATGTGTTTCTTGAACCAGTCCGTGTTTTTGTCAAACTTCAACGGTAGAATGAGGTTTTTCTTGTACTGGACCTCGACAAGGTCGTACACGAAATGGATCCACAGAAAGACACCACCGTAGCCGCACCGCCTGTAGTCGATGTGCCTAGCAACATACTGGTGGGACAAACGGTTCGTGGGATTGTTCTTCGTCTGTTGAGAAACGAACACCATGACTGGAAGGTCTAGAAACTCGTCGTGGAGAGTAGTGCTGCGAGTCTCGTGGACGTACATGTTGGCAAATCGCAGAGAGCGGATACTGCACCCTCTCCCCAGCATCTGATGCGCCAGCGTGATCATGACGGCCACTGCCAGAACCCTTCACAATCCCTCAGATAGGAACTGCACGCTGGCCTTGAAGTATGTTGTCCTCCATTCGGGCAGAACCTTGTGAAAAAGATCCCTATACTGCGCTGCCGTGTACACGTCGTTCAGAGAACCGCGCGTCTGTTCAAACCCCTCGCTGTAACAAACAGAAACAAACATGTTAGCGTCTAAGCAACCCAAAGGATCCCAATAAACCAATCGTCTACTTCACTCACTGGATTTGCTTTTTGCTGAGCTTGATCCGAAGCAAACCCCTTGCCTCCCTCATCATGTCCAACACACGAGAGCCAGAGTAGTTGAAAAGGCGTCCTTCGATTTCTCCAAGACAACTCATCGCGTTCATCTTCGCCTTCAGCATGGAAGGTGTGCAAGCCTTCGGCACTTTACCCGCATACATCTGACGGCCTTCCCGCATTTTCTTCGCTTGTCCCTCTGTTTCGGTGAACAAGTACTCCATGAAACGACAAAGCCGCCACAAAGTCAGCTTCGGCCCGTGCAGATGGGATTCGTTCTTCGGGACGCCGTCCCAGCCCTGTCCCTTGTCGTTGCCCAGAAAGATCCCAATTTCGTCCGGCTTTTCGGGGTCCAGCCTCTCATCTTCTGGAACATCGAGCAGCTGCGCCATCAGCAGGAAAACCCATCTCTTGTAGTACCACCAGCAACCGTGGTAGCAATTATTCGTTTGATCCGACCTTGAAATAACATGCTTCCATGCTCGAGTGATAGCTTCCTTCTTCTCCCGTGGCATTGGAATTTCAGGACGGATACCAGGAACAGGCTGTTCTGAATCCCAGTCCAAGAACCGGCGCGTATCCGTCCCTCCGTCTTCACGTTCGACCTCGGGTGCAGGTGGGCGGTCGAAAGGGTCCGTCCGCTCGTCCTGCGGATTCGCACGTCGAAAACCCGTTGTCTGACCTCTGCACCCACTGTCAGATGCTGGGATGTTGGAAGGGTTCCTCCACTCGTCCTGCGGATTCTGCTGCCGAAAATCCGTTGTCGGACCCCTAAACCCACTGTCCGATGCTGGGATGTTGGAAGGGTTCGTCCACTCGTCCTGCGGATTCAGCTGCCGAAAATCCGTTGTCGGACCCCTACACCCACTGTCTGATGCTGGCGACCCACTCGAGGAAGACCCGCTTGCCCCATCTTCGCCAGATAGCTCAACTTCCGCAGGGTGCTCTCCCGGGACTCTGTCGCTCGGTGGCTCATTGAGGTCCCATACTTTTCTTGGCTCAACGCCCGTGGCTCCTAGCTCCTCAGGAGCGTTGTAAAATCGCTCGTTCTCCATGTCCTCCTCCTCGACAGCTTGCCTTCCATCCGCGAAAATGTCCTCGTCGACATTTTCGACCTCGACTGGCTCGAAGTACTCCTCATGATGAGCCTCGCCCGTAAGGTCGATACCTTCCGGTACTGTTTGCAGATCCTCGTCGTTCACATCCGCCGGTTCGTTGTCTGGTTGGGAAGCGTTTACCCAACCAGCTTCTTGATGCTGCGCCATTTTGATATATAGAATCAAAATTCACAACACCGTACGCTCTGCTGCATGTTCGAAAGAAAAACGCAAACCTTCCGCGTAGTTCCTAATCTCTACTGCTAGAGTTGAAAGAAAGCTATAATCTACCACTTCTACTACGCAAAAATGAAGATCATCGACAACACCAAATGTGCAGACCTAGCACGGAAGTCTACTCTATAAATTACAGACATTCATTATGTCCGACGACTCCCCAGCGGTAGATGAACCGTTGATTCTAAAACCTAGAAGAAATTTGTAGACGAGGAAGTCGATAACAGATGCAGCACAATCACTGGACAATGATGCATGTCATGTTGATCGGAAATGACTAGATACTAAACCCGAAACCGGAACGATGAGCAAAACTGCAGGACATAGATCGAAATCGCCCGTTCTCCTCGCATCGCGTCGAGCATAACTGCAATTGTCGGCTCTCTGCAAATCTGGTCGCTCCCGCCAGTTACTGCTCTGTGTATTGGATGCCATCAGAGAGGGAGGACGCTCGCTGGATGCAGACAGTGTTGGTGCAGATGTCAGAGTGTGACCTCGACGATCATTGGTTATGTCAGGGCGGGAACAGTAATGTCCTACACTCGTTTCGCACAAAGATGTTTTTAGTATTTCATCTATGAAATGTGACGCAGTGGAAAAACGTCATTAACCCCCAAACATCAACATATAAAATCTTGACGGCAATGCTCGTCATGTTGCGGTCAAGCGGGCGGGATATTGTGTCGCTTGTGGACCGAAACGAGCGTACGGGAAAGTAATTTGATGGAGTGAATTGTGTTCGCGCGGATAACGTGACTAGTTGTAACAGTACCTTAATGTCGAGTACAACCATTTCCCGAAACAAGTGTAGAGAATGAGTGGATTTTCCGCATTGTGTGCACGTCTAATATGACGGTACTGTGATGAGACGAGGGTCGCTCATTATCGGAACCACGATTCAGAGTCGTGCGATGTCGCGCACACCGTTTGGTCGCAACCGGCCGGGCGACAAGACACCGTCAAAAGGCATCCGAACTGGTTACATTGACGATAGTCGCGATTTCGCAAGCACACAATTCGGAACTTCAACCATTCTAAACTTCAAAGATTCGAAACTTCAAACATGCAAACCGGCAGGACCGGGTCGAAACGGGCAGTTGCAGCAGTGCACAAGGGGCGGTGGGGGATGTCGTACTCGGCGCAGCCTTTCGCCAGCTTTGCGCCCACTTTCGACTCGTCCCAACTCCCAGGACGAGACGAGGATGACGAGCATTTTTCCCCAGGCAAATCCGCAGGACGAGCTTCCGGACCCTTTCATCATCCCAACCTTTCTTGCCCTCCCGTCGATCACCAACCCCGACTATGTCGCAACCTAGGTTATCACCTAGGTTTTTAACTAGCGCGATCAACAGCGGCCCCAGCTTACCTTCCTGCTACACCGGACGACTGTCAAACCGCTGCCGATTAGGCTGGTTCCTCTCACTCGACATCGTCTCGGCGCCAGGTAAGTCGGTTTTCCTCCTCGGCCTGCTTTCGCTCCTTCTCACCTTGCTCACCTCGATCTCCTGTGCTAACTACGCGCCGACATGCAGGGAAAAGGTCGCGACCCCACCGTCTCAAAACACGCCCCATCTTAGCATCCCTCGCGTTTCCCCCTCCAGTTTCGATTTACGCTTCTCTTTTTTTAGCTCTCACGGCTACTCCCGCTCGACGGCCCGGCAGACACCGTTCGCCTCTCCTCGTCTCGACCTCCCGCGCTCGCGATGGCCGCGAGGAACCTCGCTAACGCCGCGCTGCCGCCTAGGGACAGCTCAGCACTGCTGGCCGCACCCTACGGCTCCCGCGCCGCTGCCAACGGATAACCCCCCGCCTCCGCCAGCAACTTGGCACTGCGCAACCGCGCCGTTTTTCGTCGCTCTCCCCCCGCTCATTCTCGCGTACACATGGCAACGCCTGTTCTTTTACCGCTGGCTCTGTTTATTGGCGCTCCCCCCCCGTTTACGCACACCCCGCTTCCTCCTCCAACACGCATGCTATCTTCCACGCAGTGACTCCGGCCCGCGCGCTGCCTCTGAACTGCGCGACCCGGGTCTGCGCGCACCGTGCTTCCGCGCGGTTAACATCTCACCGTCACCCTTTCTGTACTTTTGGCAGCGGTGGCAACCTCAAGCCTGTTTGCGCTACCTCACCCTCGCATACTTACAGGTAAGTGATGCCGCACACCCTCCTGCCTCTCTCAGTCGTTCCCCGCTCTGCCGTTTCTTAAAGCCACATGGCTTCATAACTCCCCGCTGTTTCCGCCATGTCTCTCTCTATTTCGCGTCGATGCTCCCCACCTGGCCTTTATTCCTCTCCGTATGTGCCTTACCTTCGGACTCGGGCTGCCGACTAGGCGCCCAGTTTACCCCTGACTCGGAACGCCGATTAGGCGCCCAGTCTACCCCTGACTCGGAACGCCGATTAGGCGCCCAGTCTACCGTGAATCGCTGTGGCCACCGCCTTTGCGTTCACATCCTCGCACTTGATGTTGTTTGCGTTGCGCTTCGTGACTCGGGAAGTACCTCGGGTTCCCAGTCAGCTCCCTTGGACCGCCCTGGTCACTGCTCTTGCAAATGCCTGCTTGACCTCCCCCCCCATCCCCTGTGCCTCGCGGCCCTTGGTTTCAACCCGCCTCTCGCTCCTGCACGCTTGGACTATCGCCCCGTTCGCTTGTCCAGCCTTTCTGCCCTGTTTACGATGTCGCTTAATGCCTCGGCTAGTGATATACCGCTCACCCTCTCCCTCAGATGCCCCCCCTCTTCCCCTCCCATGCTCGTGCCCCTTCCCCATACGATGCCGCCCGTACCCCTTCCCCTGGGACGGCCTCCCTCCTTAGTGGTGGCTCACTGTGGCTGCCCCACTTCCTACCTTCCCAACTCCACCCCGCCCTTGCACCGCCCATCCGCCCCCCTGGATAATCCTTCCCCCCTCATGCCTCTCTGGTTCCACCCTGGGCCCTCAGGCAGCCCTGGTATCCTGCTGCTCCACCTTCCGCCCTCTCTGATTCTTGAGGTGCCTTCACACGGCCCCTCAGAAG